CCAGCAAAAAAAGTAAGTGGAACTTGTTTTAGTATCATATATGTGTAAATGGTTACTTAAGACCATGGCAGCTGGGCTAGTAAAGTGACTTGCTATGAACTGGATGGCAAAAGTTCAAAATCCAAAGGTGACATGAATTTTCATTGCATCAGCATGTCCAAAACAGCTCTCTGCCCACCCAACTTTGCATTCAGCATGAGCAAAGGGACAGAGTTTTTAATTGGACTCTTTACGGAGAGTTATCCGCATTTTACTCACCCAAGCTAGAACAACAAAAATATAACCCACAAGGTAGGCCTCTTGATAGGCGTGTATTCAGGTCATGTGATCCCTATTGTGCATTGTGGTCTGACATGAGGAATCACACGCGATAGGCTTTGAGGTGAATGGTTAATGAGCCCATGATCTCCAGTGGTGAAATGTTTTGTTATAAGTGTGCTGCTTCTGGCAAATACACACAGTTAAGCGTGTGTTAAAAGAAATGTTCACACATATTTATAGTAGATCCTTACTGAAAGATTTGGTGTGATCACAGGTTCTAACCTCACTTCAGCCATAATTAAATTCTAAGCCTGTTCCTGAGTATACAGGGTGTTTCAAAAAGAGCTTCACAATTATGAAAGCTTATATAAATTTATACAGAGGATATACACAACGTTTTGAACTATCATAATGTAGCAAAACACACCTAGTTTCATGCACATGGTACTGTAGTACCCAATACTGCCAGCGAAAGCGCTCCTGCAGTTGAAATCAAGATGGATACTTTCACAGGTGCAGAGCGTGCTCATTGTGTGTTTTGGTTCGAAGAAATGAAGTCTGCTACACAAGTTCAAAGGAAATTTCGCACTTAGTATCACAAGGAACATCCCAGTAGGCCTACAATTTACTCCTGGCACAAGAATTTTGTTCAGACCGGATGTTCTGTGTGCCATGCCAAGCCACCCGGTCGGCCACATGTTTCTGACGCTACAGTGGAACAGATTAGGGAGATCTTCGTTTGAAGTCCATGAAAGTCAACGCGATGTGCGTTTCGGGAACTGGTATTCCAGATGTTACTGTGTGGTGTTACAAAAACGTTTATACTTAAAGTGTACAAACTATCCATTGTTGAACACCTTATGGATGCAAATAAGGTGGTTCGTAAGGAATTTTGTATGCAAATGTTTCATCAGATAAAAGATGATGAGAAGTTTTTGGACTCCGTAATTTTCAGTGATGAGAGCACGTTTCATGTCATGTCTCACAACTGCAGGATCTGGGGCAGCGAAAATCCACGTTTCTCCCTGGAACATGTTCATGATAGCCCAAAGAACATGTTTTGCGCCCTCAGCAAAGAAAGAGTGTACGGCCCCTTGTTCATGAAGATGACCTCTACAGGTATCATATATCTGGACATGCTCCAAGAATTCCTCATTCCACAGTTAGACTAAGATGACGAAGAAGGACGCATTCACTTCCAGCAAGACAGTGCACCCCCTCATTACCTTGGAGAAGTGCACGAGTACCTCAACACCTGTTTCCCAGGTCGGTGGATTGGTA